ATTCTATAGGCATTTATAGTTGTTGACTTACCTCCTTGCAGCAAACAGCCTGATTAGCACAAGAAAAAAAAATCTGTCTGAGATTTTTCTTTCACTTTCAATTTATCCTGATCATTAGCTGTTACAGCTGATTGAAGCCTCTGCAAGGCTCCCCCTTTTGCTGCAAAGAGGTAAATTGCTGGGAGGCAGAGGCCAAATGGTTGGGGTCGGTGGGTGGGTCTACATTCAGTGTATAAGACACACCCAAATTTTCACCTTTTAGGGGGAGAAAGGTGTGTCTTATACTCTAAAAAATACGATACTGTAAGGAAGCGGTTATATATAATTGATCTATTTTGTGGCCTGTTCATCCCAAATTTATTTCATTGCTTAAGACCACCAGTGATACGGATTAACTTTTGTAAGCTTCTCCAATTCTGAACATTATATTAATACAAAATAAACACCACAAATTGTACATACGATTTGAACTGAGTTTATTTGTTCCCTCCAGTGCATTGAATGCTCCATGAATGTTGTGGACCTGATGAGAGAAACACCACAAAATATATTTTAGCATTAAGTATGTGTTTTTCTGTTCTCCGAAAAGGAATAAAATAATCCTTAAACAGAGATAAGAAGAAGAGGAAGCAAAAGGGAAGAAACCTCTTCAATTTTCATACAGTTTTGTATTGATGTCATCATTCATCCTTACTTGGGAACAATTTTTTTGAATTTCCAGAGACCTTGTGAACAAAGTATCTTAAAGCAACCGAAACATTTCAATATATATATACAATAGTTGGCACATATTAGCTAATTTTATAAAGTTAAATTCTGAGCATACAAAGATAAATAAAATATCAAAAGAATTTTATCAAACTTCAATTAGATTTTTTTAAAATGAAAATGCTGAAATATCAACTTTGATTAATTAAGGTGTCTAAGTCTTGTCCTTTACAAAAGCAACAACTGTTACAAGGGTAACACTTATAAAAGGATGGTGCAGCTGGTTTTCTAAAGAGGCATTCAAATTATTAACACTCTAAAAGATTTGCCCTGCACCAAGTGGCACAACATCCACTGAAAGATTATGCAGAAACATGACCGCAGCTCTGTTTTTGACAGAACTTCATTCATAGATGTGTCATCAGAACAGCTCATTGAGAAGCAGCATTTTTTTAAAAAACAGAGCTAATGCCAAGTTATGAGCTCAGCGAATCCATTAAACTACAAAGACAAAACACTTTCATGATATGGCCTGAAATATAAAACCAGTGAGATTAATTGAGATTCAGGTTTGAGGATACCGATTGAGGCAGTTTCTTTTTTTCAAGACTAATAGCCTGAGGATATTCCAAGAACCTCAACTAATAATCAGATTGAAAATCCTCGCAACACATGGACAGATTCAACCGCAATTCCATTCGAAAACTCTGAGCATCTTAGATCACACTAAATCCAAAAATGCTAGGGAATTTTTGGAAGATTTTTATTCAGACAAATCAACCATCAATAGACACATAGAGTTAAACCACATGTACACACCATTCAAACAGTAAAACCATATGTACACACCAGATAATAAAAATCCAAGAAAGAAATGAAAAGACCAGTACAATACTCTCTGGCAGCCAAGCAGAGATTGATACAAACAGAAATAAAACAACACCCTAATCAAGAAACTACAAGGATAAAAACCCAAGTTCCTGTATAAAAATGGAGCAAGCCCATCACTAGCAATGACGAATGTTACCTAGTCAGGTAATAGAACATCTGCAAGCAAAAAATCAATTAAGAGAGCACCAAAGACTTCATTGTTGAACCCTGAGCAACATATATTATCTTCTATTCATATTGATCTATGTTGCAGTAGTCAGACTGAAGCACTTGCAATATGTCCAGTTCCACAATACAGAAATAATGTTGAGGAATTGAAAAACATGCAGAGAAGAGCAACAAAGGTGGTAAAATTCTTGCAGGCTAAATAGTACAAAAAGCAACTAAAGGAATTTGGTGTGCTTCATGTAAAGAGGAGAAGGGTAGGGGAAGACATGATAGCAGTTTTCTAATACATGAGGGGATGTCACAAAGATTGATTCTCTATAGCACAGTAAGATAAGAAACAAGGGCTGGAAGAATTTATATACAGATATCCAAACTTAAAGTAAGAAGAAATTTCCTAATTGTGAGAGGCACTAAGCAGTGGAACACCCTTCCTCCTAAACCTATGGATGTTTCATCACTATTTTCATGAAAAGGTCTGGCAGCCATTTGTCTGAGATAGCCTGAAGATTCCTGTCCTGGACAGGGGAGTAGAGTAGAAAACCTCTATGAAATCTCCCTAGCAGTTTAGCTTTAAATTGCATGTTTAACATGTTTATCTTTCTTCCTGGACGTATCCTGATAGTAAGATCCCAGTCCCACACCTTTGTGTTGCAGAATATACAATGTTTCCCAACTTGTCATTCTCTAGCTATGTTAGGAATTGAATTCCCAAAACTTCCAGAGTTATACTCCCAAAAGACCTAGAAGATGCTAGCTTGGGTGAGGCTGAGATAGAGCACAAGTGAAGATATATTTTGTACTACAGTTAGATATAAGTGCATACTAAATAAAAAAATACTAAATACCCTTTTTATCTTGTAGGACACCTTTCATTCAAAGAGAAGATAAAGTGTTAATAAGCCCACAAATCTACTATTAGCCACAGCAAAGAACTCAAAACTATTCTTGAAACTATTGGATATACCAAATATTCATTCATTCATTCATTCATTCATTCATTCATTCATTCATTCTCTCTCTCTCTCTCTCTCTCTCTCTCACACACACACACACACACACACACACACATACACACACCAGAAGGTACAAGAAACTATAGTGAGCGACCACTGGCCAATGCAATTAAGCAAAGAACTCCCATAAATAAGCAATTCCTGAGGGACAAGAAGAATAGGAATCAATAACCAAGTAAATAATTCCAAACTGGGGCTTTTAAAGTTGAAAGAATAAACCTGATTTAATATTAGCAAGGACTATTTTTAACAGGTTGCAAAATAACATTCAGAAAGCACCCTGTTACATAAAATTATGTTTTTCTCATTGAACTAATTTGTTTAGTTTTCATTTCCACCCAATCTTTCTTTTCAATTGTAAGCACAGATCACATAATTGCATCAGATATTCCTAGCAGTTGTTTCTAGCAGACAAAGGAGACATGCACAGATGAGCTCATCCTTACTGGCTGCATTGCACAAGTTGGCAACTCCTTGCCATTTACAAACAAATGGATTTCCATCTATGTAGTATGCATGCGTTGGTAAGCACCCTTCCCATAGCTTGAAATAAATTGACCATACATAGGCATTTTTCCTGATGCATTCACCTGTCACAACAGAAATAAATCAGTGTATCAGACTGAATAGAAATGCCTTGCCATTTTGCTGCATACAATTTTTTAACAAGATGCACAACCTCCTTGAGAGCTGTAGCTCTCTGAACTCACCTGCAGCTTGTCACCAAAGGAGAGTTTGTGGATGACATGTGTCATATCAGGATTCTGAGGCTGTGCAGTGGCACTATGGGTTGATACATGAAAATTTCCTGGAACCTAAAAGAAAGCAAAGGTCAATTTCTGTTGTGCTTAAAACCATCAGCAACCAATGTTTGATGTGTAATTTGAAACTTCAAAACACTTATAATCCCTGGAAGATGCAGGACCAACAACGACTGGAAATGCTTGAAATGCTTATATAATTAAATTCCCCCACCTCTAAATGTTCATAATTATAATTTAAGAGCAAATCCCCCCCCTGCAATGGATTATTTTAGGTTTTGCAACTAGTCAACGAAGAAACTAGCTAATATGAAAAGCATGGTAAAGAAAATAATAATCATACTCTCTAGCAAGAAAAATATTTACGTGGCAAAATGAGCAAGACTGATGGCACACCATTTTTAGGCATATTCTAACATGATAGGCAAGTACACTTTCATAGCCTGTGGAGCCAACAGTTGGCTGTATATCTTTATTCTACCAACAACATGCTACACACTCCTCCACCCTGAGGAGTCAGAAATGGCCTTATAAGGCTGGATTATCTAATGCCACCCCACCCACCCCACAAAGCAGGTCTGGTTTTTCATAGCTGTTAGTAAGTGAAAGTGGGGCTCTTCTACTCCCATTCTGAGAAGTGCTCTTTAACATCAGGATGTTTCTTCCCAATAGGATGTCATTCTTTATTAGCTAAGAGGTCCTTGGAATAGAAGGCAGCATTGTACTACTTTAGATTACAGCTCTTTGTCCTGTGGTGACTCTTAAGACAGAAGATACAATGTTTTGATGAGAAAAGAGAAAAAGCGACATGCAGACTTGTTATGCTCTTCAAAAAGTCAGAATCAACTCTAAAGCACTTTAAAAGTCTACATTAACATTACTCCTATCACTGATGAACCAAAAGTTGAATCTATCAATATAGCATTATTTCCTCTTTCTGTCATGCTCTTTGCCTCAGTAAATACTACCATGTTTTACCCAAAAATAAGACCTGGTCTTATTTTCTTTTGGGCCCCCAAATTAGCACTAGATCTTATTTTCGGGAGATGTATTACCAGCTTACTTTAGGACCATTGCAGCCAGGCATCTCACAGCCCAACACTTGTCACACCACTGCCTGACTTCTTCTGCCAGTCTAACTTGCAGCCAGACACCACATAGCTCAGCGCGCCAGGGCCACACCTCGCGGAAGGAGGCTTTGTGTTGTGAGGTGCCATTGCATGCACGAGCAGCGGCACCAGCAGGATGAGCCATGCGCCCTCCTGCCACAAGCAGTGACACTGGAGCAACGCGTCTCACAGCATCTTGCCATGAGTGGCAGCACCAGTGCAATGTGCCATGCGGTCCCCTGCCATGAGCGGCAGCACTGGCACAATGAGCCATGCATCTTCCTACCGCGAGTGGCAGCACTGGTGCAATGCGTCATGTGGCATCTGGCTGCTAGTGGCTGCAGAAGTCAGGCAGTGGTGGTCCTAAAGTAAGCGGGTGTGGGAGAGGTGGGGCAGCTCCACCCTCCACCCCCTCCTAGCCTGATTTTTACGCATGTGCCTCGCCCCATCTTGTACAACCAGATGGTGGCTTCTTTTGAGGGTAGGGCTTATATTAACCACATGCAAGAAAATCAGGCTATGTCTTCTTTTGGGGTAGGTTGTATTTTCGGGGAAACACGGTATATTCAGTTTTCTTTCCTGTATTCCTTTAGAACTTGGATTGCTGCATTTAATCAAAATAAATTTCTAGTTTAACTGATTAAAGATGTGTTCTACAATTAATCATACATTACACTTTCTATAGTATTTGTTTTAATTCAAGCTATTATAAAACTTTAGGTAGTATCAAAATTCTTAGAAAAAATATTTTCTCTTTTCAAAAGGAACAAAGAATATTTCTCCAATGAGGTCTGGTTGCATATATACTTATGACAACAAAAATTGCAAGCTTTTTTCTTCTAAATTGTTGATTTATATGCACATATAAATGGGTAACAATTCTAATTGTGACAGTGTATTAGTAGCAATTTGTTATTGCTGCTTTTAAACTAATCTTAAAGCTAATTATTTAATTATGAAATCATTATTATTATTGACATATGTGGGATTGTTACAGTAGTCAGGAGACTACAATGCTACTGAAGATTTGTAATTTGGCTGCCTGTTTACCAGCTCTGTTAGATATATACTTGTGTGTCTCCTACAGTGTGCCATAGGAGAGCAAACTAGCTTTGCACCACAAAGACAAGTGGCTCTTCCTGCAACGTCATACAAGACCCCCCCACTTCCCCGGAGACACTTTGCAAACAGGTGCCACAACCCAGAAGGTTCAGAACAGGAATTTGTCTGCCTGCGTGGAACACCAACTCGTCATCCCACTGAAGTAGTACCTATTTATCTACTCGCATAGAACATGCTTTCTAACTACAAGGTGAGCAGAAGCTAAGGTAAGTGACAGCAGTTCACCCCACCATGTAGAACTAGGGATCAAACTGCTGGAGCAGAGACTATCTCCAGTTTCATTAAGCCTCCCATTATGATATCATGTGAACATATTATAGAACCAAAAGTTGGAAGGAACCATTCAGAACATCGGATCTAACCCTGCTTAATCCAGGAATTCAAATTAAAGCATTCCAGTCTAACTCTTGCTTGAACACCCCCAGTAAAAGGAATCCCACCTTATCTACAAAACTGGTTGTTCCATCAAATTTTGTTGAAATTTATTATAACATAAAACAAAAATAGAAACAAATATAAAAAGGGCATAAGGGAAGGAAAAGTAGAGAGAAAAGTAAAAGGTAAAGGAAAAACCAAGGCAGTGACTTCCAACATTTTTCAGTATGGTAGAGTACAAAATACAATTACAACCTTAATTTTTTGCTTTTAATTTTTTGAAAATAGGCATTTCAATAAAAATGAAGTAATGTAATCAATCATCAAGACTTAAAATTACAGTTTCATTTTTTTCCCTTTTTACAGCATGAAGTCCAGAAGCAATTTCCAAGTCTTACATAGGTTTTTTTTCCCCTCCTAAAATTCATTTGGAGTGTGCTTTCCTGTAACTGACATTCATGATTAACAGATCATGACTTTTTTTCCTATAATTTTTTCAGATGTTTGAACGGTGTTACTTTATTTTTTCCTCAGTCTTCTCATTTCATTTTAAACATTGATAATTCCTCCCATTACTCTTCACTGAAGCCTATTTTTAGTTCCCCAATGACCTTGTTCAGTTTGCCTGAATCTTGCAACGCCTAGACTTTAGACTGGATGGGTCCCTAAAGTAGAATTTGATAATGCCCAATAAACTGGAACTACTGCTGTCAGTGATTTTAAATAAAGTATATTTCCAAATGGGATACATGAATGAAAAGTGACTGTTCAAAATCAGCACGGAAATGAATGGTGTTTATTAACAAGTTATTTCAAAATAGTAAGGATGGGATATTGTCTTGCTAAATAGTCCAACTGTTGCATGAAATAGCAGGGTGGAAAATGTACTTAACAATAATGTAGATTGCTTCATCTTGTGGCAACGTTCCATGGCACAGAGAAATAAAATCAATTTTCTTAACAAGATTCTGATTTCCAGAAACCAAAGCTATATGAAAACTGTCAACCAGGACACTTATTCAGGAAGAGGTTCCTATTTCATCAGTTATTTCTGTAATACTTTCTTACTCTGATTATGAGTAAGAAAAGTTGCAAATACCTATGCTATTAAGGGTAAAACTTAACACAAAACCTGTTTTTTCTTCATAAATGACAAATTTTATACCTCGTTCCTTTACAATCTGAGGGCCACTTTAAACAGCAGCATTTCTTCTGCAGTGGTATATGACCTAAATCATAGTTCTTGATTTAACTCTCTGCACATACAAGCAGTTTCTTTTCAAAGCTTTTCAACATTTCACCTGAATGGTTTCAGTTTTACTTGCCTTGTTGATGCTGAAATGACCCTCAAATCTGCACCCATCGCCATTATTCAGGGGAATTTTCATTGAGTTATCAATATGGCCAACTTCATGTCTTCCCATTTCATCTTGAATATCTAATCCAATCACTACAGGTCAAAGACCAGAATTAAAAAGAGGAAGAGAGAATCTATTATAAATGATTTAACATGAAGACATAACTGTATTTCCCATTTTTATATGAAAGTGAAAATATATAGAAAAATAATCATTAAATATATAATGTTCCCCTAGTTTTATGAACTCATAGAATGTAGTTCTGTTAAATACTACCAGAAATATTCAGTGAGTCAATGCTAGAATGCAAGCATCAACTCTCCTTTAGCAAGATACTGACAAACTTCTATTATTTGATATGGCTCAAAACATTTGGTTAGTTAACCCGTACAGAGAGATGAATAAATGGGATATAGCTTTTGTTTTCCTCAAAGCATTTCTAATACACACACACACACACACACACACACACACACACACACACTTTTAAAAAATTATTTGTGTTGCGTTTTTTGTTTTTCCATTGTATTCCTTTTTGGTTTTTAACTTTGTCATTAAGACTCATGTATATGAGATGGGCAGCTACATAAATTTATCAAATAAAGAAAGCATAATAATAATTATATTGTTTTGCTGGTACATTATGAGAGGAAAAGACAACTAAAATTTGGCTGTTCCGAGAATGAGTTAATAGAAAATGCTATATATCATCTTTGCCATTGGAAAATAATCTTATTTTCAAGCTTAGGGACATCTAAGATATCCACCTGGGTTGCTCGTACGATTGTTTTTCGCTCTCTGGAGCCTTCAGGGAAGCCTCCTAAAGGCTCCAGAGGGCTAAAACCAGCCCTACGAGCAACCTGGAAGTGACTTCCAGGTTGCTTATAGTGTCGTTTTTTGCCCTCTGCAGCCTTCAGGGAAGCCTCCTGAGGGCTCCTGAAGGCTCCGGAGGGCTAAAACTGGTCCTACAAGTAAACCGTAAGTCCGTTCCCGAACTTCTGGTTTGCCCGTAGGGCCGGTTTTTCGCACTCCAGAGGCTTCAGTGAAACTCCTGAAGCCTCCGGAGGGCCTCCAAGGAGGGGCGGGAGAGGCTGTTTTCGCCCTCCCCAGCCTCCTATAGAGTCTCTGGAGCCTGGAAAGGGCGAAAAAAGCACGCCAAAAATGAGGGGGGGAGCGCTGGTTGTGCATGCATGCGCACTGTGGTTGTGTGCATAGCATTATGAGTGTGGCACGCCCGCGCATGACCCCCCTGCACTCCCCCCGCTTTTGACACGTGAGCCAAAAAAGGTTAGCCATCACTGGGATAGCCATTCCCTAAAATCTCCCATGGTATATCCATTAGGATGAGAGCAGTAAGGATTTAGTCTGGCAAGATTCTGTCTATTGTGTGTAAGCAAATAAAGAACTCTGGCTAAGTTTCTCTACCACGTCGTTCTTGGGCTCATCTGCCTCTGGCAATTTCCTACCACGTTTCCCTGAAAATAAGACAGGTCCTTATTTTCTTTTGACCCCCAAAATAAGTGCTTGGCCTTATTTTTGGAGAGATCTTATTATTTTTGAGATGCAGGAGGTGGCGAGTGTGGTCCCCTCAGGGCTGCTGTTGTGTTGCAATATTTTCAGCAGGGCTTATTTTTTGGGGAGAGCTTATTTAAGCACATGCAGTCAAAAGCCCGATTGGGCTTATTATTCAGGGAGGTCTTATTTTTTGGGGGGGGAACAGGGTATATAGTTGTTGGCCAGTACTGTCTAGGTATCTGCTTGCTTTAGCTGGATAACTTCATGCCTCTCTCCCATTACACTATTGATATTAAAGCTAAAAATATGTTGTGATTCTGCTGGGATGCTCACTCTCAGGAGAAGCAACAAATGGACCAGTGGACTGGATTCAAAATAAGAGATTTTTTTTAAAAAAAAAGCACATAAAAGAAAATACATTGCAGTATAGCTTGCCCTTTCTATAATTTTAAACCCATTAACATCTGAAAATGATTACCGTGTCCTACTCAATCACTTCGAGAACAGCTGAACTAAAAAAAGGAACTTATTGAGATTTATGTGAGAAATGTGTATTAATTGCTAAGGTTCCCAGAAGCTGTAATACTTTAATATCTGCTATAAATGATGCTTGCTTTCCCTTTCTATTTCCCTAAGATCCATAGTGACTAATTGCCTTCCAAAAATTTAAGATGTACCTGGGGGCAGGGCGGGGGGGGGGGGAGAGGAGTCAACAAGCACAGAAGTTGTCATCAGATCAAGTCACTTCAGTGGACTTAGTGTGCTTCTCTCACAATAGAAGAGAGAAATCCAGTGACATATGAGCTGGTGGTAGAAATTCTATGTAGAAAATCTGTACATTGCTGTAAATCTCACATTGCTTGTAAAAATAGTTACAACAGCCTTACAGCCATTCTGAAACCATTGTTTTTCATAAAAGCTCTTTGCCTAGTACTGAAAACATGAGATTATATGCCAAATAAGCTCTGCATGCCCTTTTTAAGAAAAGAGTGTTCAGTAAATATTTCTCTTTTCTGTTAAGTACCCTGTCATTTGTTACCGTGATAAGTACACTATTATAAATAAATATTTAGCAACACCAGAAAACCCATTCATAAAAGCAAGAATGTAATTCTACATTAAAAAGTATTTTTTCCCCAAGAAAAGAACAAGTATTACTCATAGGAATCTGAATGTGAAATATGCAACTAACTTAGTTGTACAATCACAATTGTAATCTTAGCTGAATAAGGAAAACTCACATTCACAGTGCAGGCTTGGCAAGGTGATGTTCAAATTTACTTCTATTTTTCCCCCACTGTCTTTGTCAGGATCATCCACATAGAGTTCATTCACACTGCAGGGGAGAAGAAAATAGGTGGTGTAATTTTTAGAAGATATTTAAACAAGCCTTTATTTGAATGAAATGTGCCAAGGGCATTTGGACTGAAAGAGAAATAAACTTTGCTATAGGACTGAACTATGCAGGTTCAGAAAAATAATTACTCTTCAAAATACTCATCCTGTCTCTCTAGAACAGTGTTTTTCAACCACTGTGCCGTGGCACACTAGTGTGCCGTGACATAGTGTAAGGTGTGCCGTGGGAAAATTACTTTATATATAGTCAATATAGGCACAGAGTTAATTTTTTTTAACATTTTCTAATGGTGGTGTGCCTCGTGATTTTTTTCATGAAAAAAGTGTGCCTTTGCACAAAAAAGGTTGAAAAACACTGCTCTAGAACACGTGCAGAATGCAGAACAACTGACCTAACAATCATTTCAAAAGAAACGTACTTAAGTAGTGAGCTAAGATGTACTTTTTATGTGATTGTGTTGTTAAATAACATGAAAGTTCCTAACGGCATAAATAAAAGTAGGTTCTCATCAGTTAAATAATAAGTACAGTGTGTATCTTCTCAATAAAAAAACAGAATATACTCACAATGAATAGAAATCAGATTCAAGCTTAGACATGTTAATAATTGGGCAAGTTGATATTCTTTCTTGGCTCCCAATTAACAAAATTATGTTCAAAATAGGAGTTTTTACATTACATGACCAAATACGAACAATTTCTTTCCAGGAAGGTTTCAGCTTCATTCATTTAGGCTAAATAAGTCAATTTTAAATAGATCTCCATTATTCAATTTTACAAATAGAAGTATATTATTTAAAAATTGAGATGTGGCCCAATTTTTTTTTTCAAAGAAGCTTTATTTCAGCATTTCTCAATCTCAGAAACTTTAATATGTGGGGACTTCAACTCCTAGAATTTCTCAACCAGCAAGCTGAGCCATCTAAAATTCTTTTTAAGTTCCTGAAGTTGAGAAAGACTGTTCTATGTACGATGTATGTGAATGGAACAGAGTAAAGAGACAACATGGTCCTGCCTTTCTCAAAGTTATTATGATTTCCAGTTTTGTTCAGGCAGCATGAACCTTACTGTATGGGAACTGTGGGACAGGAAGTGGGAACAGTGGACTCAACCTATTCCCTTATGTTCACATTCTCATATGTGTTACATCATTAATGTCTGTTCTCACCATTCCAAGAATTAAGTAATATGCAGATGTTTTTTAGGAAAAATAGGCCAAGATATGCAAGTGCTGTAGGATTAAGTAATATGCAGACATTTCCTTAGCAAAAAGTAGGCCACAGATATGCAACGCTTCTAATTAATTAACTATATTTTTATTTTAAAATGCTAATTTACTTTAACAATAGCAAGAATGGCTTAAGATGATATGCTTCTCACATAATCCTATAGATGACTAATAATACACCTAATATCATTACATAAAGGAGGACATTGAAGGTTAACCGAAGTCTGCATTAGCATATTAAATTAAAACATAACAGCTGCACTCTTATTATTAACAGAAAGGACCTTAGACATTTTCTACCTTGCTGAAGCAGGAGACCCTCTACCACTGATCCACAAATTATGGCTCGCAGTCTGGATACAAGCTGCCAATGCAAAGTATCTGGCCCGTGGAGTGGTGGAATTCAGCCCCGTCCCTCACCCTCCCCCTCACCGTTGGCCTTATCTTCCAGCGAGCATCCACTTCAGCTGCATTTCTGGTTAGTTATTTCACTGGTTGAGCTGCACTTCTAATCACACTGCTGCTGCCTAAGGTAAGGCCGAAGGATGTGGGGGAGGGCTAGCTGACTGAGGGGTGATCTCGCCAGTGTAGCCATGTGGTCCAGGGCCGGTGGGTAAGTAGGAAGGGACTGCTGCCAGCTTGTAAAGTAGTGCTTTAAAAGGCTCTAAAAGTGCTTTAAAAACAGCCTTTCAGGATGTTTTTCACAGCCATATGATCCAGGGCCGGTGGGTGAGTAGGGGAGTACAGCAAGTACAGCAAGGACAAAGGCAAAATGGACTGCTAAATTGTCCGTGCCCACCCAGTCACATGACCACCTAGCCAAGCCCACCCAGTCACATGATTACCTAGCTACGCCCACCCAGCCGGTCTGCCCCCCCAACAGTCTGAGAGACTGTGAATCGGCTCCTTGTTTAAAAAGTTTGAAGACTCCTGCTCTATACCATTTCAGATAAATGGTTGTCCAATCTCTTCTTAAAAACCTCCAGTAATGGAGCATCCACAATTTTTGAAGGCAAGCCATTCAACTGCTTAATTATTCTGTCAGGAAATTTCTCCTTATTTCTAGGTTGGTTTTCTCCTTTATTAAGTTTCCATCTATATAATTTATATACAGCTACAGCATGGTTCGCCCTGCATATGTAAAACAAAGATTGTGATTTGTTCCAAGAAAACAAGTCAAAAAATGAAACCAACTTTTTTTTTCTAGGTTTCTTTTTCCGATATCTCTGGTTTACACAGCGCCTTAAACCAATTCACAGGTGCAGTTTTCTGTAAGTATAGTTACTTACACCCAATAAAAGGAGGAATCTGTAGATATTGTTTGACTTGATCCAATGAATGTTTTGTTTAAAAAGAATAAAAGTACATGCTCATGACATATAAAGCAGAGTTACAAATGAAGTTGCTTAGCATAAAGGATAACTAATCAATTGATCATAAAGTTCAGTTCTCATCCAATTCATCCAAGTCATGCCTCTTTCCCAGCAATCAATTCTTGAACTCATTCTGCAATTGCTTGCTTTCCCTTCATTTTTTCCCCTTTCCCTTCTAACCATTTTGCATTTTACTTTCTTTTCAGATTCTTGGTAGACAGATATATAGCTGTGATGGCGAACCATATATATAGCTGTTATGGAGCCGAGGTGGCGCAGTGGTTAAATGCAGCACTGCAGGCTACTTCAGCTGACTGCAGTTCTGCAGTTCGGCTGTTCAAATCTCACC